CTACAATCACACGGGACGATACTTCAAACCAAAAGCAAATGAGACAGCATTTCTGCAGCACTCAAGTCTGTGCTGCGCCACAAAAGCTGACAATATCTTTATAGCCTGTGTGGGGGAGACTTGAGTGTAACCTGGGCTCACATCCCAGGAAAAGATGGATCACTGGTTTCTGGCAAAACAGCAGCTGTGCAACAAGCATTCAAAGTGCCCCCCCCCCCTCCCCCGCTGTAATGGGCAATTCACAAGTGAGAAATCCAATGAAAGCTGCAAAACCTGAAGCAGAGCTGCATATTCTGATACAACATTACAGCCCGCACGACAATTGTCACATCCTCAACTTTGTCAACAAAATGGTAGCCTCAGGAAATAGAGACGGCGGCAACATCCACACAATCAGTTTTCATATATAAAATCTATTTTGGGGGCCAGATGAGGTACATTTTCCCCCCACTACAAGCTTCCCTAGCCCACCCACACAATGGATGGCTCAATAAATATTGCCATCTATTCTGACTGTCAGTTTCCATTGTCCTGCATTTACTATGCTTGAACAAGCAAATAAAAAAATAAACAAAAACACAAAAAAACCACCATTTTAATAATTGCATTACATAATTACGCATTTCAGTAATATTTCGCAGTTTTCAGGTGTAGCGCAGCTTTTAAGCCTTGCCGCGGCCTTTTACATTATAATCTCGACAGTCATGTTCATATCGAAAGATGATGGAAATTACATAAGCACTTCTGAACCGTCCACCCACCTGTCTTTCCACAAGCTACGAAAACAAGACAGGACACTCCACGGAGCACTTGATTGATTACAGGAACTGTTTAATCAAAGTCTGAACTCACTGCAGACCTAGTCAGCTGTTACAAGCAGATACAGCATAGTCAAAATTCACAGGTAGCCAAGTGTGCAACACACAGCGGCACAGGCTAAAAATATAAACAATCAACCGTTTTCTTAAGTTGTTGTCCCCCCAAAAAAAGGATTTAAATATGCCATCAGAACATATTGGGTTACCAAAGCCTATGCTACTTTCTCTTCATGCTAGAAGTGTGAAATGAAGTCCCAGGTGTCTCTCTCACTCCTTTTCAACTGTGTGCACATGCAAAGGAAATAGCGAAAGCTGCACCTCTGCAGGTTAGCTGTTCCAATGGAACACAGTATGCACTATGGTAGGTAGGTAAGTAGCTATTTTAACCAAGTGCTATATTGCATTAACAATTACTGACTACAATTTGGAGGTCAGGTCATGTAGGTAATGCTGTTTTTCTGAAGGCACTCAAGCGTTCCATGTTAGAGCTTCCCTGCAGTGCTTCAATAAGCCCATCCCCCCATCACTCAGAGTGGATCGCTTCAAAAGAATCTTAACCTTGGAGAAACGCTGCATGTATGTTTTAAAGTACAAAGATTTTCATCTAATCACAACCTGCCTATTGACACTAACTGCATTAAAGCACTCGCCACTTCACAAAGGGAACTGTGGAATCCATATGCGTCTCATTCCTCATGATCCATTTCATTGCTAATGTAAAACCCAGGAGTATAATTGAATATGTGGATATATGTGCACCTGTAAAAAAGGCTTAATTCAAGTGGTTTGAAAATAAAAGGCACCGTAAGCCTTCAAATGACCAGCTACCTTTGAGGATATAGGTTAAATCCTTTCTGAGTTTGCTATCAGCTGGTGTGTGGCCACGACATGACGGCAGCCTTACAAAGCCAACATAATCCCCTTGTCCTGGACTAATCTAATGCCCTGGACCTCAAAACAAACACTTTTAATGCTCTTCTTGCACAGTGTTTCTTTGGTATATAGTCTGAGGCACAACAGATTTTTAAAAAAGGTGAAAGGCTGGTCACAGTTAACGCAAAACAAATCTGAGCCAAAGCCCAGTGCCATCACGTACATTAGTAACTTTTACAGTCAGTTGCTGTCCTTTAAAAACATTACATACCAGCAGCTGAGTTATCAAGGACATCATACTGTTGAATAAGGAAATGGGAATTTCCTCAAGTGGCGTTGCTCTCGTGTTCAGTCACTTCACAAGCTATGGTCTGTCAGACTGTATAAAATCTATCTGCCATGCTATAACAAGGATCCTAACACCCTTATAATGATTAAAACAAATTACTACTTTTAAAAAAAAAAAAAAAAAAAAAAAAAAAAAGGTAATCAGATGGAGAGGAACTGCCTTTGAAAAGGTACTGAGCTGGAATGAAAGCTATGCCAGCTCTATGCCTTACAGTGGAATTGCTCAATTTTGTCCACCAAAAGAAAAAATAGCAAAGGACATGTTTGCTCTGTGGAAACATTGCTATTATTAAAAGGGACACCAGTGCTTTCACATGTATGAATTCAATTTCAGGGCAAATCCTCTGGGCTTAACACTGTTATATTACCGTCTTTTGTATTGATTTCAATGTGACAAAGACATGAGAAGAATGAGTAATAAACCTCTAGGTAAAACAAAGTGTTCAAAAAGAAATCAATACAAAACAAGTCGGTAATGATACGTAGTGACCAAACACTCTTCCAGCAAGCGTAAAAGACCTCAATCATTTATTGGAACCACTAGCAAATTAATGTTAGTCTGGTTAAGGTGATCCTTTTGCTGCCCGCTCTGATATAGGTTATTTGGCTAGTTGCACTGAAAATAATATGAACCGTCACTAAACCTCAGAACGAATGCATTTTATGCTGCCTTGGGTCACGTGCGTGAATTTCTATTGACTTGACATTATTTCACATAAGTCACTTGAAATCATTAAGTCCCGTCAGGCCTTAATGACTGCATACCAAGTCTTAAATGAGGAACTCTTACACCTCTATGCCAAAAAGCTGGTATGAGAAAACCACAGGTCTGCTGCAGACTGGCCTGGACTCAAACAACTTCCAACACGTCCCACATTGCCGAATAGGGAACAAACGCTTCATGCACATTATTCCAAAGTAGCTTAATATTACAGTGCAGAAAAGTGTCTTCAAATGGTGTCCAGAGTTTTCGCAAGACAATGTATCCAACCTGATTTAATAGTAAATGAAGCATTAGCCAGGAATGCCTGAGGCTCTTGAGAAAGAGCCATGTCTCATGTTTAATGATTGAGTATTCAGTTACTGTCAACTATAGTAGTTTTGTGTAAACAAATACATTTCATTAACAAAAGAACCACTCATTCCACTCATTTGCATTGGTTTCACCTCATTTACGGCTTGGGTGGATGGTACAGTCGATGGCTCAGACAGCATTTCGCTCTTAAAGTAAGAAGATAGTTACTTCTATCACTAAATTTAAATTGTTAAGGCTTCATGGTGGACAAATTGTAGTTTGTTTCATTTCTGTACTTCAATCTCATAACCTATTATTGGAAAATGACATCAGCTTCACCTACTTATCCATCTACCTCGAGTACTCTGTAATAATATCTGAAGTTTGGGGTTCTGCAACCGCTTGCAAATATCTCATTGCGAGATCATCCACCCACGCCAGATATCCTTACACTTAGGCATGCCACATGGAAGACCTTGAGTGTTGTATTGTAAGCACTTAGCGGTTGTGCTTGCAAAAACAGAAATGTGCAATACAAATGACAAATGTCCTCAACAAATCATATTTAATTGACTGCCAGCACTAGGTCATCGTACACATTAAGCAGGATTGTGCAAAGCCTGTGACACGTTTATGTTGCAAGCTTGCACAACAATTAAAACCATGTCTCACTTTTTCCCAATGAACCCATGCTGTTAAAAAAATAATAATAAAATTCTGCACACTGGAGCGTTTTTGAGATATATATATATAGCCGCTGCTGTGGTTTTTATATATATATATAAATACATTTAACACTACTGCAGTCTTGTATCTTGACTAATGAATATGTTGAACACTTTAACCTGCAGCTAAGTACTAGACTGAGACTACTTTGCTAGTCTTTAATGTGGTCCTGTTACAGTCCATGGAGCAGCACAGACCATGGGGTAGAGCACAGGGTTAGCCCACAGTGGTCTTGTTAAAAAGGAAATCTTGTGCTTGAGCTGAATGACTCAATTCACTGAGATGGGACACCCCCAAGAACATGAGCTGACAAAACGTGACTTGTTTAGTTTTTTTTTTTTTTTTTTTTTTTTTTTTTTTTTTGGGGGGGGGGGTTCCATGGAAGTCCTTACCATAGCTACATATTAACATGATCCACCATTTTGTAAAAATTTTAGCTGTAATACAGAGCACTTTGTCTGAAGCCACAACCTGTAACAAGAGTTGTAGCACTTGTTTACACTGCTCTGTGTGTGTGTGTGTGTGTGTGTGTGTGTGTGTTAACACCAGTATACGTGTGGTTTCAAACAGATTCACACAGATCCTCACACTCTGCTCTAAATCATCACTAGTAGCACGTTAAAAGATCAGGCTTTCATTTCCATGCCTACTTAAGTGCCCCTCGCAATTCACTAACGAGACCCCCTGGGAGTCCCCGGTACCCAGATTGGGAAACACTGTGGTCACTTCACTGGCGGAATTTGCAGCTTCAAATCTGCCCAGATCCATATTTTATCTCCAAACATGGGGGGGGGGTCGTTTAAAAACAAAAACTATTAGTGAAGTCAGCCAAGTGTATTCTGGGGCTAATAAATATTGCAGTCCCCGAGGGTAACTGTCACGACCCGTGAGCTCAACTTAAAGAATCTGTTAGCAGTGCTTTAACGGTTACGGTACCAGCTTCACTTTCACACGTTAGCTGAAGTTCAAGAAGCAGATAGAGCTAACTTAGCTCGGTGTAATGAGCTAATCTAAGTGTAACGTTAGCTCTCTGGCAGACTGAAACAATGAGCTCAGAGTGCAGTCAGCCTTGGCTAGCTTGCTTGCTGCTGCATGCTGTGTTGGCTACATAACATAAAGCTAGCCAGCTTGCCATGCACACAAGGCTAACGTTAAATGGCTAACGACTCGTAGCACTATCAACAATAAGAAGAAAAAAAGAAGAAAAAAAATGTACTTACTTACCGACTTAGCTAGACACTCCTATTCCAAACCGTGGTCTGCCCATGGTGGTGTATGCTCCATAAAAAGAACAAATCAACGGTAATTATGCTTTACTTATAAGAAAACCTCTAAAAAAAATCTGAAGCACCAGAAAGCAGTGGCAGCGCACTCCCCAAGACATCCAACACAAGAGAGGAGGGGAGGCCAGCGATTCACTGGACTTCTGCCATCACACTTCGAGATACCGTCCACAGCGTAAACAGCCGAGTCCCGAGCGCATTTTTATCGGTGCCGTCTCAAGCCAGACACAAGTCCGGTCCTCTCCAGCGACCCTCTATCAATTATTCCCACAGCGAATAGCTTTCAATCCAGGTTAATTCCTCCGTATTCACCGTCTCTGGATGAGCGCCGTGCTGGTTCTTCGTGTGGGAACTGATACAATGTAGCCAACCAGCAGCAGCGATTAGGAAATCCAGGATAGAGAAGTTCCTCTCGGAATGGACTGGGATACGTCAGGTACAATGCATGGAACTGGATTAACCAGCCTGGACTGTGACTGTGTGCGTGTGTGTGTGTTAGTTTTCAGCGAGGGGACATGCACCAGCTAGTCCAGCCCCCACTGAATGCGTTGAGTTCTAGCCGCTGCTGTGGTTTTTACACAGAGACAGGGCCGTAGCCAGGATTTTAAAAAATACTGAGGTCATAGGTTCAATCTTCTCCTCTCTCAGTTCTTATAATGGAGTAAGGCTTCTTTAAGCTATCTATAAATAATACTGCTTTCCTATAAATAACACCGATTTCAGATTTATTGTTAAATGTAGGACAGAGCACAATTACCAAATGCAACTAGCAGCCCAAAACATCAAAATGTTAAATGCAGCCTTCCATGATCCAGAAAAGACACCAATAATCCTCCATAAATTGTCTGTAGTTTACTCACTTAAGTGACTCTTCATTTTTTTTTAAAAATGATGTGATTTGACATTAAAAATATTTTAAATAATGCCTTCACATAAAAGTGTCTAAAACATTAGAAAATACCAAATAGTAGACAATAGGCCACTTTTTTGCTACATTACAGTTCAGGGATAGAAATGCTAATAATCTGATGATGATGATTTGTTGATGACTGTGTGATAATGGGAAGTCAGACATAAATTGTCTGGCCTTCATCATGTGTTTATAAGATACAACTAATGATATTGTCAGTACACTCCGAACAATATGCCAGTTACTCTTGGCCTATCAAAAGGTCAACATCATAGGTATATTTTTAAATCAGTCGTGTGACAGGACTCTAGCTCCCCTTACTGCTTCCATAGGAATTAAGAGGGTCAGTCTCAAACAAGTACTGCCAATCAAATGTACTTGAAGTAATCATCAGCAAATCCGACTGCCTCTTTAAGTGCAGATGTTTTAGCAGTTTGCTGGTCTGAGGGGTTCAGTTGTGTGTAGATACGATTTTCTAAGTAGTATGACGTCCTAGCAAATTCATCACAAGGTCAGACCCTACAATGCTCAGGGAAATTGTAAAAACGGGGGAGGTGGGGGGGAGACAGGTGGTACATTTTAGCCTCTAGAGACCTCAGGTAGCATGTTAAATGTGTAAAACATGTTTCAAACAGTATCCAGACCAGAGTTTGTCAGTAATGAACAGCGGCATATTTAGCAAATACCAAATCAACAGAAACACCTCATACTAACTGTCAAACACATGGTGAAAACAAGCCCACAAACTCAGTGAATTAAAGGGATATTGTAGAGAAAAATGGACCAAACTTTCTTGACAACAATATGAGACACTGATTAAGTAGTTCAAAAAATTATTACTTCAAGATTTTGCTGGTAAAAGTTGTTCTAAAAACTACTAAATCACACTTAGCCTGTTAAAGAGTAATAACACACATACACATACCAACACTTATTAACGGAGCTTGGAGTGACCATGTAAAAAAAACTGAACTAATTGTGTATAAAAAATTCATTAGGGAATTAGTAATTATTATTATTAGGCAGTCACATATGGATTCATCACCGTGTAATAAGCCATCAGATCTGCAGGGGGGAAACTGATAAATGGTTTTTAGAGTAATCCTGGTCTGCCCTGGAATGTTACATGTTTAAAAAGTGCATTGTTGTTCATATTTTCCCTACCAGCCTTTTCCAGAAGGAAAGTGTCTGAACAGTTCAGTGGAGCGGTCTACCTGATGAACTAAAGAGCTTACCTAAAACAATAAAGCAGGTGTTACTCTGGAGTCTGGACAGGGGTAAACACTGACCAAAGGGATTTGTCACAACCTGGCAACCCAAATGTTCACGTAACTGGCTTATAAATGATCAAATACACTTAGTATGTGACTTATTCAACCTGTACAAGCCCATAGGGATGTTTTGTCGTTAGAAAGTGGCAGCACTGACACATCATGATGAATGTACTCTAACTCAGTTTTAAAAAAGGGGAACCAAATGTGCATTTTGTTGAATGACAACACTTTTAAATCTGTAAAAACTGTGATTCTACACAAGAAAGCAACACGGAGGCAAAAACTTGATCTTCACGCTTGAGGCAAATTGGACATGTTACCTTAGTGACTGCCAGCTGGGTTCAGATTTTGCTGAAGTGAATCTATAACAACAACTGACGGGAAGTTTCTCAGAAAACATTAAGCTGGCAAAGGAAAAGATTCCAACAATAAGACCCTTGGACATGTCATGAATCCAGTTCTCCCAGCTCCACGGATAACCTTTCATGTGTACCAGCTTCAAACACCATGAAGGCTTTAAGTCGTTGTCTCGCTCAGTGCTGGTTTCCCAGGCAACAAGAATATGATAATGTTGCCTTTGACATGACAGAAGGAATCATCTCGCTAACAAACAGAGACAACAGGCACAGGGAGGGCTCGGAGAGAGGCAGGGGAGGGGGCTGAATTAATGGACTCATTTTCACACAGAGGGAAACACAGCGGCAGCAGCTACTTACCATCCTCCATCTTCCTCTATTGCCTCCAATGCATTCCTGCTGGCAGGCACACTCTTGCTCTCCCGAGGGAACAGCCAGCCTCCATTGGAAAGCTAAATAACAGTCAGTGGCCAGTGGGGACCGGAGGGGGACAGCTTTCTGATGAAGGCTGCCCTTCAAGGCTGTATGGCTCCAAACCAAGTGCTCTCGCTGCTTAGCGTCACACCAGCTAAAACCTGAAATGAACAAGCTGTGTGGACGCCATGTGTTTTCCATCAGTGAAGAAGGGTTAATCAGCCAGCCATGTGGAATCACAGAGGGGCTGGCTTGATTCATGTGATCATCTTTCCATTACTCTATAAAAGAAACTGTAAAGCCCCAAAGCCCATCTGTAAGAAACTTGTTCTTTAGCACATGTTTGAAAATCCATATCAGCTAACAGCCTTGTTGAAGAAACTGATGCAACAGAATAAAATGACATGAAATAACACAGTCACAGAAAATAAAAATGTATCGTCCTTACCTAAATTAAAAAGGCAAAGCCTACTGAATGGACTGTTTTTGTCATACACATTAATGCTTTCACATTTTAGTCCTCACTTTGCTCCAGACTGAAATGTCCCATCATTAATGTTTGTGCTAACAATACATCTTTTAAATTGCAAGGTGTCTCAGCTTAATTTTTTTTTACATAACATCTTGTGTTTTGAACAGATTAAGTCTAAATGTAAAGATACAAATGTGACATGTACTGTTAACACTGCTGATTTAATCTTGTTACATTTACATCTGCTCAGATTGATTTTTTTTTCTAGTGCATGACATTAACTTGTTTATTGTTTTCTTTGACTGAAATGTTACAAGAATCTGTTACATGCAGGCATCCGTTCCCCCCTTGAGAATGAAGGGTAACAACCTTGTTTCTCAGCGCCATCATTGTTGAAATCTTTCATTTGGTTTACAATTAAATTCCTCACGAAACCATTACAATCCCATCGTCTTTGACTGTACCTTGTGTTTAGTACCACTTAAAAAATATTAACACCAAATGAAAATGGCGGGAATGGTGAGAGTTTTTATTAATCCAAGTCAATTCAGTTTTATTTAGATAGCACCAATCACAACACCAGTCACCTCAAAGCTCTTTATATTCCAACAATAATAGAGAAAGTGCTTTAAACAGGACCCAGGCTCAGGGAGGGACAGCAATCTGCTGCGTCCATCAGCACACCAGCTTCTTCTTTGAGGATGTTAGCCCCACAAAGGTCGGAGATTGGGTCTAGGGTAAAAATGGCTGTAATTAGCCATAGGCAAGACTACAAAAAAGTGCTCTAGTCCACAGTTTTATGCCTCTAAGTGTATGCATAATATTTTCTCTATCTGTACCCATATAAACTATATGGACAAAAGCATGTTACACCTACAGGATCTGCTCCCGTCATAGTAACCAGTGCCATGAAGCCCCCAGTGCACAGTTTTTGTGCTGATGTTAATGACATTTGAAACCCTGCACTTACTGAGTCACCAGAGTATTAGTGACTTTTATGTACAATGGGCCTTAGCAGTTGGTGACCCCGCTCTGTAACCCTACATGATGTGCCACTTTGTGTCCGAGTTCCTGTGGTTCCTAAACACTTCCGGTATGGAATTACACCACTGACAGCTGATGGTGGAACATCGACAAGTGAAGAAATGGTACAAATTGACTTGCTGTAATGGTGATATCCTATTACAGCACCATCTTCCAACTCAGCGAGCTCTTTAGAACCATCCATTCTTTCTGTCTGTGTAGGCGCTTGGTCATCCAGGTTGTGGTAGCCTTCACAGCTTGGAAAAGGAGGAATCCAAGAGGCTTTTTCAGTCCCGTGTAACAAACCTCTAGAGGAGGCCGTCTTCTTTGGAGGTGGTCCTGAGGGTCGTTAACCTACTATTGATCTTGTGAGTAGTCACGTAAGCTGAGGTGTCAAAAAAGCCGTGGGTCATCCCCATCACCCGGGCAGACAGGTGAAACCTCTGTTAGACCTTACCCCACCCCACTATCACGTAAACTATTGAGGTTACCTGAGGCAAGGTGTGAATGGGGGTTGAAACCCCTGGGAAGGGATTTCAGGACTGCATTGCAGGTGGCTCATAGCTGATGTCGTAAGCCGACACCTCTGTTTAATGATGGTCGTTCCTTTACTCCTCTTTCAAACCTTCTGTCTTCTCAGTCCAAAACGGGCGTCCTTGAAAGACTGACCTTTGTCCTTAAGGTGCCTTCTATGCTAACTTTACATATAAACAAACTATATTTCGACACCTTACTTTATAAATACGCTGTACTTTTCAAGGGGCAGGCTGTATTATGGAGCTTTCCCTTTTACATCTTTATTTAATATTAATTGTATTGATGTGCAGGGTGGATATTGTGTTACTAATCTTTTGTACAATCCAAATATGAAAAAGGACTCTCAGTCTCACCAAGTTACATGAAAAAATAAACGCCATCACATTTGGCGGACTTGTGTGACCTTATGTAAATCTAACTTTATATTTTTTCTTTCACAGTTCAAACATAACTTTTAAAGGACTGCACAGGAAAGGAATGTTTCTTTTCCTCTGTAATACCACTATTACAGTATTACTATAACAACACAAGATGGGGAAATATAGTTTGTTTTTCAGCAAA